ACATGAGCCAGACATGGAGCATCTTCCTGTGCTCCTCCTCCTCTTTCCCCTGTATGAAACCGAATCCCACAGACCCCCCACTCCAACTGTCTCTCTCCCGTGACATCAGGAGCCCCAGCATTCAATCGTAAAGAGGAGAAAGACAGGGATGTTTTATTCTAATGATAAAGTGCAAAAGACAAACATGGAGAGACCGAGGAACAAAGATCTTGAGTTTCTATGTGAGACAGTTTAACATTCACACAGCTGTTATCCCGTCACATGTACATGGGAAGGAAGACTTGAGCTTGTTTTTATGAGTCCTGTTTGACCTCTCGTCTGCTCGTAAAACAAGCATCCCTGCGCAGACTGATTTGCGCACAACACGCAGCCGAGCGCACAACACATGTACACACATTTTACAGTTTTAAGGCACCAGGAGAGTCTGCTGCTATTCCTATACAGACAAAAACACACCGACACACACAACACCGCACACTAAATTCCACCACTTCAATATTGTCAAAGATACATAATTGAATCGGGCTCCACATCAAACACAGCTCATTGGCAGCCACACAGGAATTCAGCGTCCAGGAAAAATAACAGCCTAAAATATCTCATCAAAAGGCAGATTACTGTAAGCTGAATCTAATGGCCATGCCTTATCAAGCATAATGAATAGCAGAGAGTCATTTAACAGGTGAACAGAGGAATGTAACCCAGTGCTTACTGTTCACAGCCCAGCTGTGGAACAGACCGCGGGATCCAGATGACTCAAAACAACTAACCTTAACTGAGTGCAGAACAGAGACCGACAGGACTCTAGTGTCTCAGAGGAAAACTGGCTAGCTACTGTCAACAACACCACTGGCACACCTATATGATGCCCACTCTTAAAGTGATGTGTACCTGAGCCCTGTGCTTAGAAAATAGGGAAGCGTTTGGTCTTGTATTTGTTGTGAACCTCAAGAAATTTGAACTGTTGTGATCTGACTGAAAGTGGTTTGAGCATTCATGTGTCACTGACCATGCGAGGCCTGCTGGCGTTAGTTAATGGTGATGGTGAAGTGTGTGCATGTTTACCAATGAGGCCTGCCGGCGTGGAGGAGAGGCTTTAGTACAGAGTAAAGATTTATGGAGTGTCGGCTGCCCATCCTCCTGTTGAACTTGTCTTAGATTACCATCCTCCTGCCGTGCATGACTGCTGCCTTTGTCCACAACAGACATGCTTCATATTAAATCTGGTATTCCACTTCTTCAACTGTCACTGATCCACTTATATAACTCTCTACAAATCTCATTTCCCTCCACTCGTACACTACTCCCTTTACTATTTAACTCTTTGTCTCCTGAATGTTTAGTTTAGTTTTAATTTACTAACAATATCTAGGTTGGTCACTTACTACAGGCAAAATTAAAACATTCCCTATTTTATTATATCAATGAAATATATTTATAGTAAGACTGAATAACACTGTTAATACATACATGGAAAAAAAAAACCTTTAGAGACTCACCCACTAAGCACTGAATGTGATTTCAACATGGTGCTGTCAGTGAGCCCAGAATCCCTTTGGTTGTGTATGGTCCATGCACAAAGCTAACATTATTAGAGGTTTATTCTCTTAACAGCTGTAAATGCAATACATTCATACTAAAGTCCATACAATATGTACTATGTATTTGCTCTCAAATACGGTACCCTTAAAAATAATGTAATGAACTTTTAACTTGAACCACATGTAGCCTTGTTTTACCCTACATGTCTATAGTGTCTTTAACTGAGTAATGAGTTCTGAGTAAGAACACATTACAGTTTAAGCTAGGTAGCCAGAGCTATCTAGTACAATGTACAGTATGTCCAGCTTTACAAATAGGATAAGTGGATTAGTGTGAATTTTGGTTCTGTATGTGATAAGGGGTCAAGGTCAGGAGCCATCTAGACTCAGAGGCCAGAAGAGGAGCAGGAAAAGTCTCACCTCGTTAGGTGAAACTTCACACTCTGTCTCTAGGCCAGCGGAGGGCCAGGGGCCACCGCTGAGGCTTAGACAGGACAGCTCCATTCGTCACAACTGCCATTAACACACCACTGAGGAATATCACTGACGTGTGTCCATCTGAGTGTTTTACTGCTGATATCTTGATGTATTAGTGTATATAATCTGCAGTGGGCCAGATCTGACAGCGACTGCACTAGTGGTGCAAGGATGTCTGTTCAGTGGTCAGATTACATTAAAGTTGCTTTGTCTATTTATGGTTAACTCAGGAAATTCTTTGATGGCCTGCACAGAACAAGCTCAGATGTACTGACGCCTTAAACACATCTTTGTACTCGTATAACACACATAGTCATGAACACAGTTCAGTCATCAGCACGGTGAGAACTAAATAATACGTCAAACTGACTGGCTCACAGCAACTTGTGAAATCTCCATAGAGTATCCGTAGTTAAAGTTCCACTCTCTTAAATGTTTTCACGTTTCAGGAATGTTAAGCTTCTGTCGAAAGTCCCCATATAGTATTAATTTCAAGTATGAGTGCCCCCCCACAGTCAGTCCAGGCTCGCTCGTTATTCTGAGCTTAGATATGAAATGACATCATGCTTGCAAAATTAAAAAAGGAAAAGAAAAAAAAGCAGGTACCAAAATACCAGGGCTTTTTCCTTCCCCCTCCTCCTGCAGAGATCAAATGAGCCCATGAGGGAGAATTTAAAATTATGGCCTTCTTGAAACAGGCCAAACAGTCAGCATTACAGTCGGGCTACGTCATGAGTCAGCAGTGGGTCACCTGCTATGACTTCATACCAAGTCTGTTTCACACAATGTAAGAGGAAGGGCTACTGTTAGCTGGTATAGTAACTACTTCTGCAACAACAGGCTAGTACTGTAGGCCAAACTCACATCTCTCCCTTGTCTGTGCACAAAGTGTCAGAAGTCAGTTTAAGTCCAAAAATCTGCAGGAAAAAGCTGGGAAAATAAACTGCGTGAACAAGAAACTAAACGCATAGGGGGAAAAAATGTCTCATATCTTTGAACTTCCTTAACATGAGCATGTAACACTGGTGTGAAATCACCGTTTTCACAATTCACATGGGTTGAATTTAAATGCTTTACATCCATTTTAGATCAACTAAAAAACATTTGGACCAGAAAAAACCAAAAGACCAGATTACTTTACCACTGAGTTGGAAAAAAACAGGGGCAGCATCTGTCAAATAATACTGGAACTGTGATTATGAGGTATAAGATGGTAAGTGGTATGAGGTAAAAGCTACATGTACAGGCAAGTAAAGAAGAGAGAGCTGTAATCACTATTTCATATAATAAAACCAGGATTTTTATGACAGCAACCAATGCTTACATCTCTGATTAACGTTTGCATTTTTAATTCATCAATTAAATTTTTCAGACATTTTGGCCACAAATTGATGATGCTATTCAACATCTAATCAACTTGTAAGAAACCAAAGTAGTAAAATGATTTTGGTATAGCAATGATAACATTTCATTGATACCCAACGTGGTTACTTACAAGTAACCACTTGCAAGGACTTCTAAGGCCAGGGTGCATTGGACCTAAAGATATAAAGTACAAACTGTGGAAATTTTTTTGAAAGTAAGTAATCAAGTGGTTTGGTTTCCAAGATTGAACCATATCTGTTAGAGGGAGAAGCCTTTTGTGCCCTTAGTTAATGTCTTTTACCCAGTGGAATAAAATGGTTCAATTTAGGAAGAGAATTTGCAAAACAAATACTTGGACTACATATTTGTGTGTGTGTGTGTGTATGTGCCCTTTTATGTATGTGTGCCTGCTGGTGTCTATGACCCTGTCAATATTAGCTCAAACAGAGCACCTCCATGTTTGAATTCAAACAAGGTTCATACTGTATATTTGGCAACAAATTCCATCATCAATCTATGGAATGTCGTCTCCTCCTGATGTTGGAGACACCACCTTGTGTAGATTTCATAGCAAAATTCGTCGGTGGCCTCTCATCTTCCAAAGGTTCCTCCTGTGGTTTTGTGTTTTTGCCTGAAACCAAGAAGCCGTAGCTGCTCTCTACCGTAGCTGCCCATCTCTCGTCATTCAACTCCAAGTCAAGATTTGAAATGCCTTGTTTGCACAGCAGGCAGTTAGGGTAATGACATGGAAGTGCATCAGACAAAATGCCTAAAATAGCACACTGAACACGCCACAATTGGAGATGGATTTTTTTTCTGTCTGCTTTGCAATGCATTGAAATAGTGATAAAATCAGTCATCATGCACCCGCAGCGTGTTTGGTGTTCTGCACAAGTAGACCTCACACCATCAATTTTGTTTAGAAACGCTCTCTTTAACCACACAAACACACATGCACATACAAGGGTCTTACACTGACTGCATACATTCCCCATTCTCTCGTGCCAACAGCTAATCTTAACCCAAAACTAGCCCCTTCAAGAAGTAAAGAAAGTCCAAAATGACCTCAGACTGAAGAAATGCACAAAGTGGTTCCCACAAGGATATAACACACGCATCCCAATACCAGAGATGCATCATTATAAACAGAGCATTGCATACAACATTGTGTGTGAGGAGCATGAAGACATTCTAAAGAATACCAGGCGCTTGGCACCGCAAGACTCTCCGGCCGAGACAAATTGCGGTTGACCACGGAAGACCGCGCCCAGCACCCAACCACCAGGAATGTCTCTTTCACTGGCTGTGCAAAACGCTGCCATCAGATCAGTAACTCACTAACTCATTAGTCTGAGAGAATAAGGAGATGAGGAGGTGTGTCACCTGCTTGGACTGGCAACTGCATCAAAGGTGCTAATGACATGAAATAAGGGATGTGAGTTCTACTTTTAAAAAGAGAAACATGCACACACATCTGCTTGCTTGTACACACATACAAATAATGCAAACTGTCAAGGATAGGCTGTTAAAAGGGATCATACAAAAAACATATGCATATGAAAATCTGTGTAAAGAAGCATTGTTAACACTGAAGATGCCCTGTGTACTATACTTTACTTTACTGTTTTCCCACATTTTGGTGCATTTTCTTCACTAAAAAGGAAAGAAAAAAGAAAATCAGTCTAACCACCAAGATGAACAAGAAAGATGAGACACAACATACAGTAAGTCACTGCCTAGCTGACATGCAGCTTTATTTTGCTGGTGTTTCAGCAAAAAGCTCTGCAGGTACAAATTCAGACACATGAGTGTGTGATGTATGAGTTTAAATAGAAAAAGTATTGGGCATATGCAGCAAAGAAAGCACTAGCTTTGGGTTTCTCCTTCAGCTAATATAAGATCTCAGCTGATAAACCATTTTTGCAACTGTAATTCATAACACGTCACCATGTGGATATCTTTTACACTTGATGCTTCCTGAAGATGCTCTGTTTTATTTTGGAATAATATATAATTTGCTGCCATCTAGTGTTCACAATCAAGAGCCAACACAGGAAGTGACAGCACTTCTTTAACAGCACACAGACAATACTTACTGAGTGCATGTCACTGAAAGAGTGGGCATCTGCAACAACAGATGAAGTCACTTTCAACAGTATAAAGGTCACACCCCTTTTTGGGACATGTGTAAACTATACACAAATTATGAAATGATAGGGCAAAAAGGCAAAGTACTTAACAAAGATTTTTACTTTTTCATTTTACGTTTATCTGCTATGTAATGTCAGTATGGCCACAGGGTCTTGGGCTCTCCTGTTTCCCTGTGGTTAAACATGCTACACACTACCTTCATATTCCCCAAAGAAGGTGTGGGGAGATGTAGAGCCTGGTGACTGAAAATGCCTCGTCATTGCATTGCCTGCATTCCTTTGCCTGGCTCCTGTTGGCCTGAAGACTATTTATACAGCCGCAGCAGAGGCCCCTCATAGCCTACTGGGGAGATACACATCCTGGGCCACTGACTTTATGTCTTCTGATTACACAAATACCTAAAAACACATCGTCTGCTCAAAACTTCTTTAATCTTTTGGAGGGCCATTATAATAACCTCAGACAAGACAAGGACTAGTTAAACCTGTGTTACTTTAAATTCTAGGTAAGATTGCAAGGTCTCAGAAGATACCAAACATGTCAGGATGAAGTATGGTGAAATGCACATAAATTCAATTCACATCCAAACTTTTCAATTGTATGTAATAGTGCAGCCTTTAATGGCATACTGACTTCCAATAATATAATGATTTAATGAAGTTCTGCAACAAGTAGATACAAAATATATCTACATATACAGTAAGCATTAATTCTAAGGAGATATCCTGAATTTTCATGTTTTAAAAGTGATGAATATAGAGTATCACTAAAATCAGAAGGACACACACTGCAGAAAGGCCATCCTTACAGCCCTGAAATAATCACATTCAAATATACTGCAACTTTAATTAGCACAGGTATGTCTTTATAGTAAACAACAAGCATGTTGACAGAGCTGTGAGGTTGACAAATCTAGAAACAAGAGAGGAGAGTATATTTAGTTTGAACTGGTGCAAATAACCAGGGGCAGGGGGTCCTGTCCTCCCAAACAGTTCATCCAGGCATAAATTAGACAGTGTCCCTGCTTTAACTGGCACAGGTACCAATGGACAAATGTGCTTACACAGAGTGGAAGTCCCCCCCAAACCAGAAACCAGGTGCTCTGCTTGTCAACACATGAGTATCTCTCACCTCCTGGCCGCCTTCCATCTCGCCCACCTTATCTCTAACGGCCAGGCCAGCAGGGCTGAATACTGATGCTTGGTCTGGTCAACATCACTGACACTGTGATATAAAAGTCTGTTCATATACTGTCGGTCAGTACATTCTCAGATCACGTCCATTCAATGTCTTCAAACTTGGAATATTAGCACAGAGCGTTCCACTAATGTTATCTGACCTGTGTATGACTTTAATTCAGCAGGTAAAATGTTTTAACACTCAAATTACATTAACTTATCCTTTGTGGTATCTAACCATGCAGGCTTCTGAGATATCTATCTGTGAGATCTCTACCTCCAGCTGAGTACAATGTACAGTAGGTGACAGGATTCATTTGTGGTGCTAGCAGCACTGAAAAGTGATGAGGAGCAACATGACTTTCCAAAACAAATGTGTTGGTTTCTTTCACTGTCAATGGCTTTCATTGGAGCTACTTTCAACTGAGGAAACAGTCCCTATTAAAAGTTCTGTGGATCATCCACAGGAACAGATTCGCTGCTTCTGGAAAGTTATGTTGCTGTTAACAACACAAATTAACTTCCATTCACCTCCATTGTAAAAAAAAAACCCTTTATTATTAATTACTTGACTTACCAAAGTCAGCACCAACTTCTTTATAGTGCTCAACTTAAATAGTGTTTATGCTTTTCAGTATCAAAGAGAAGGGCTCACATAATAGTGCACACATATAACAGAAAAACGCCAAGGTGTTTATGTAAGTAAACACAATAACTTATGGACAATAACAACAAGTTATATAAAAGTTAACAACTCTATCAAGCCTATAAAAACTCACCATCTTAGTGAATCTCAGTGCCATTTGAAAAACAGCTATTTTCCTCTTTTACTGTGACTGGAGATACACTTGCCTCTTCATTTGCAAACTCTCTTGGTGAAATCAAGTTGGTGTTCACCCTTAAACTGAGATCAATTAGAGGAATAATTATTTTGTATATTCATTATGCTATTCAAATTAACAAATAAACTAATTGTTACACATTCAGTGATGATTAAAATAATACATAAAGTAGATTGAAGTTTTGATTGAACATTTGACATAAACCTTTTTGATTTTGTTAATATCTCTCTCTATTTTAATTTTCCATTTATTCTATTGTAAATCATTTTACCTGACCCAGGTAATGACAGATGTTTGACACGCTGAAACTAAGTGTTTGAATTAGGTAAAATAAACCATGACCCATAGCAATGGTAACAAATAGGGCATCAGCTACGTTTATTTTCATATAGATAGTGTAATATTCAGAATATTGGAAGAGTTTAAAATGTGCTCTACACAATTTGAAATGTGTGATATGAACTGAATCTATTATAATATCACAAAAAAATTCAACCACCTCAATAAAGCCATATGTTTTTGGGTCAAACCTTTAACCTCTTAAGCAAACATGGACGCTGGTGTGATACCACTGAGAGCTGCATAACAGCTACTTAATGGACATTGTGGGGAGATTTGTTTTGTCAACTAAGATCAAAGCTTACCTGACGAGCGGCAGGGGGTTTCCTGTGACTCTGCATTCCAGACGAATGGGGCTTCCTTCTGCCACCTCCTGACTCTTCAGCTTCTGGAGGAAGCAGGGAGGAGACAACGGTCCATTAGAGGTCGGAGCTCCAGAGTGCTGGTACCTTGCAGAGGCTGCGACTCCCATCGGGGCTCCAGACTGTGGCTCCAAGGTCATGGCCGGCTGGTTGTACTGTGTCTCCGCTTGCTGGCTGGGAGGCAGAGAGGGAGCAGAGACTGAGCCCTGAGGGACTGGTCTCCGACTCCTCGGAGACAGATAGCCACTGTCAGGAGAGGAGGAGTCCTCCTCTCCTTGCTGCTCCAGTTGAGCAGAACCTTTGAAGATGGACGACAACTCTTCGATGAACGTGGCCGCTCGACTACAGAACTCTGTGGCTGAAGATGCCCGATCATTCAGCTCCAGGCCTTCATGAACCAGCCTGGGTTTATCCTGCTTATAAACTGGCTGGATGGGTTTGTGGCGGACAACCTTCTCAGTAGAAGTCGGAGCCTCACTGGACACCTGTACCGATTTGCTGAGAGGGGCGTTCTGGCTGGAAGAGACTTCAGCTGCTGCATTGTCATCTGGGCAAGGGGCTTTGGTCTGGTGCTGTAGGTTTGGGCTCCTGGTGAGGTTTACAGTAGTCTGGGGAGGCACAGGAAGAGAAGGGACATGTTGGAGAGCCTGCTCCTGGGATGAAAGATTAGAGGGGCCTGGATCTTCAGATTGAAATGGTTCACCAAAGGCCTCCCGGGCCAGGTCCAGGCTACGATTAATCTCATCTGCACTCAAGAAGGCAGTCAGATCTGCAAAGTCCCCATCTCCAGAATCCAGCTCTGTCACTGAGTCCAGGTAGTGTTCCCCATCAGAGGATGCCTCAGAAAACACACCCCCATCGCCCTCCAGAGTCCTGCCTCCTGCCGGGTCCTTCAGCAGCAGAGAGATGGGGAGTGGTTGATTCCAACTCCCGTCCTGCATCCTGGAAGACACATCAACTGTCATTAACCAGCAAATTACACACATTTACACTGCGGACAGTACAGTTTCTACTGCATATATCACATTGCTATTAGTAGAAAGGGAAATGACAAACAGTTACAAAAGGAGTCAAGCTTAAAATACAGCCTTTTATTGATATTACTCTTGTAGCCATAGCTGGCAGGATGACTCAGGCCAGTGTTGTCTGGACACAGTTGGTGGGTATTAGCAAAGGCCTTAACTGAGGTCACAGTGAACATGACTGGCATTTCTTACTCACTGTTTCTGACGGGACATTTTACCCTGTCACTCTGTTCTTTATTGTACTTACCTTACACGTGTTTTACTCCACTTTAACAGAGATTAACAATTACTTTCCTTGATCCAGTGGGTTTTTTTTGTAATCAATTACTGATGCTGTAGGAAGAGTAGGCCAGCTACAGTTGCATGAATCAATGAATGTTATTGTAAAAAGGCCACACCCAACATTATATAAAATCTATCGCTATTTAGTCATCTAATCCAAAATAAATGTGCACGGTGTGTATGTGCTGTAAATTTACGTCACCTGATGCATCCTTACTGGCTAGTTTACCCATAAGTCTCACTTTTTGACTGTAAAATGGGTCACATACACATGTAATTTAAAATAGGTGTGTTTCTTCTCTCGGGATGTTGACTCTAGATGTATAGCATGTTGTGAAGCTGTCGGTGTAGATGCATGTACAACGCAGTGTGACACTCATGGCGTCCTGAAGACCAGCTGTTGTTATTTTTAATCTCCTGGGCTATGTTTCACAGCAGCAGCACAAACTCACCCACCCTGACTTTAGGCAGAGAGGTCCGTGAAACTCAGACACTACCTTCAAACACACACAGGTAGACATGGACGTGCACAAACACCCACTGAGAGACTCTGGGTTAAAGCATTAAAGAGACAAGCAGAAACTATGTCTCTCAAATGTGCTGAAGAGAACAATAACGGCACAGTGCTTATTAAATATGAATGTGGAAAATTTTAAACATTGAGACTGATTGACAGAATGTTAACAACTGTCAGTGCTGGCAACGTTTCCACTAACCCCTTTTCAAGATTTTCTACCCCTTATTATGTTAAATATTTACTGTATCTTATATATGTATTTTAACAGTATTTGTTATATATAATACAAATAAATAGCTTAAACTGAGAAGGAATCAAAATCTCCTTAAAAGAACATGACAGAGAAGATATTGTATATGTCAAGTTTAAACTGATACTGAATGTAACTACCACATTTAAAACAGTTACACTGTTACATTAAATGACTAACACTCTTGATGCAACCATACCATAAAATGCTGTTGAGAGTATCAACAAAAAAGAGCTAAACTTACCTTAAGGTGGGCTATTTGACACTCGATCCTGGTTTAGTGGTTCCAGGTTTGTCTCGTTTATTAAGTAAGAATGAGCTAAAAAGAAGCTTCTCTTTCCAGAAGAGCAGCCTTATTGGACAGACAGTCAGCAGGATCTCTCAGGTTCAGGGTCCAATTGCGTACTGCCTCTGCAGTGGCCTGCTGTCCCATCTGTCCCGGTCTCTAACTGCTCACTGTGTGGGGCTATATTTGGCCCCGGCTCAGGTTTCACAGCCAGGACACTGGCAAGAAGAGAGAGTGTTATGGTAGTCCAGGGGAACAGAAGGTAGTGGTGACATTTTCACAAAAAACAGTGTTTGTTAATTAAACACAGTAAACATGGAAAACAGTGCATCCTGTAGTAATACATGACACCACACACCCACAATATGCACTAATAAGACCTACAATTGTGCTTCATGCAACATTCAGAGGCTCTTAGTGTGCATTGGCCACTCTTAAAAACAAAGGTTTGGATAATGAAGAGATAGATACGTCAGTTCCTGGTTGGGTTATGGGTTGTCCGGTGAAGACGTCTAATATGACACAGTGAAGTGACAGCAGCTTGTCAGTGTTGCTACAGTGTCCAGCTACCCGATGACCCCAGACCACCCACTTATCTGTCTCACCTATGGGTAAGTCATCTGAAAATGGGCCTGGGAGGATTTAGCAGAGACTAGTGCGTTAGCAGTTTGGTCAAGGTCAATGCTGCTCTCATGGAGCATGTTCAGATTCAAATAAGACATTTTAAACCCTCTGCCCAGCCAACACATGACATACAGAATTGTCTCATAAGGTATACCAAAAGAAGATGGCTCAGACTAAAGACAAAACAGTGGGTTAGAAGGCTATCAGACAGTCGAGGACCACGCAGCCTCACTTGCTCTATTTCTAGGCCACTATCACATTTTGTGCTCTCAGAGCTATTCTGGTTGTTCATCAATCTACTGATTACAGTTAAGTACCAGTGATACATTTGGAAAGAATTTCCACTGTATAGCTACCTACTTCACACACACACACACACACACACACACACACACACACACACACACACACACACACTAGTTAATGTGTAATCTTCTAAATACTCGCTTGTCACCATACCCCAGTTAGTAATAACTGGTACTGATGTATTAAGTAAAAATAAATGCATTATTTAGTGGTGACATCTATAGACTTGGATCTGTTCCGAGATCTATGTAAGAATAGCACTGGAACATTTCCACCTCTTTCATACTGTTATGTGCCAACCACAACAGATTGTTTACATGTCGTCTACATTCAGTAATTATCTATAGTGTTTCTATAGAAAAGGGGGAGAAATTTATCTCAGCTTTTCATTCATTTCTGTGAAGAAAACAAAATAAAATGGTAATTTTTAAAGTTTAGATTATCAACTAAGATATAAACTTAAAAAGATCTCACAGGATAAGGGCTTGTGGAGACCTGAACTCAAACCATATTCACAGAGCCTTCCTACTAAACAGCCTGGTCCTGCATCACAAATGTATGCAGTTAAAACAACCAAAGAGCAGAACAATGACTAAACATTAGTGAGAAAAAAACAAAAAAATCTCAAAACATACATTAACATTAAAGAGACATAAAAAGTTCCTTATAATATCAGGAAAACTAATCTCTGTTGTAATATTCACAGAAAATAATCAGCTTGAAATTAATCCTGTGACCACCAGGTCAACTGTCATCAGCTAGTCAAAGAAAGATGAAACTGAATATCAACATAGGGATAAGAAGGTTATAAGGACCTCTCCAATAATTGTGTTGTTTTTAAAATAACATTTAAAATGAATAAACAGTGGTTTGATAACAAAGTATTAATTATTAATAAATATAGACACTATTAACATTGGCGCTAGCATTATCGACAATGCTAAATAATATTAATTATGTGTTAATATTGGTGTTGTTCCCACAGACACATGGATGTGTAGTCTGACAGTAACCACTTAAAAATAATTTACAGATTATTTCCCAATAAATAATAAGATAGAAAAAAATCTTTGAGGATCTTGAAGGCTCTGTAAGGAGCCAATTTGTATACTGAGTACTTTCTATATTTTAGTGATGTTTAGCCAAATTCACTTGAATAAATGATTGCAATATAGCATTGTGATACTTCTACCAACATTAAAAACTAAACATTTACAATATAGACCAGTGCAATACACACAGGTGTATTTAGACATCAGACACCTAACTTTCCAAATAAACAGAAATGTAGTTACACACTATTATCACTAGAGGGGAATGAAAACACACAACAAACATCCACTCAACGAACACCAAGGCAAACATTATACATATACTAACACTTATAACAGGGAATTCATTATTGTAAAGTGTAGACGCACTAGTTATTCACTGGAGACCATTTTACTGTCAAACGCTTCAAACAATAAACCATTACAACATTCACTTCAATGTGGGCTTCAGTAGCTTCGCTTCACGTGTCCTCTCACGGCTCCCGTTGCTCCACATTGATTGGTGGTAGAGAAAATATGGCGCCGTCCGCGTAATTGTGAAAACAGCATGAAGAAAAACTTAAATCTGGCGTTTCACAGGGCAGAGTGTGTTTGACGCTTTCACATTTCTCAACGGTATGTTGCAGTTATTATTTCACCGCCTGTAAAGTCCAGTACGGTAAATAATAAATAAATAAATAAACCGCGGCCTTTACTCGACATTAGCTTCGTCCACTTGCTAACAAACCAGCTAACAAACTATGTTAACATTGGAGCAGAAGGTTCCGATCTGTCAGCTCATTATCGATAACACTGAGGGTTAGTTTAGCTTTACAGCACTGTGCTGGTTAGGTAACGTCAACCTCTAACGCTACAGGCTAGTTGGATTTCCCAGGTCACATAGTTACATTTACACATGTCTTGTTTTCGGCAACATCGTCTAAAACCCCCAAATAGACCATTTACAGTCATACAAAAAAAAAAAGAAGACACGCAAATGTATGTCATTTGTGCTTGAAAATGTACTCAAACTATTAATTGATCAAAATGGCTCATCTGTACACATAGCAACAAAGGCTCAACTGTGTGGTCTTCCTCAAGCACCAATAACAGGATTGTATTATAACATTAGAGCCTTTCTGACATTTCCTAAGTTAAGCTGGGCAAATAAAATGTTATTATGTTAGTTATTATGTTATTAGGAGATGTTATTCATGTATGTGTTACATTTTGTAAACATTTCCAGTCTACAACATGCCTGCCTTCCGGCAAGTGGGAGAGAAGCAGCTTCCTAACCCAGTGCTGTGTATGGCATGGTCCCCCAAAAGGGATCTTATTGCTCTGGCCAACACGACTGGAGAGGTAGGCTTAAAACTCATTTATTGATCCTGAAACATGTCTCTGTATCTTTTATTGTTTTGTAATTTCATGGCTGATGTTTGTCCATAGTTGCTGCTACACCGCTTGAATAGTTTCCAGCGAGTTTGGAGCTTACCACCCAGTGAGTACACTGGGAAGGAGATCACTGCACTTGCCTGGCGACCTGATGGCAAAAGTAAGGAATGACTGTGTGCGCCTTTTTTTAATTAATCGTCTGCTTGTTGATGGGAACATGACGTTATTATACCTTTACACTCCAGTACTGGCCTTCAGCCTCGCAGACACCAAGCAGGTGGTCCTGTGTGGTGTTGAGAAAGCAGAGATCCTCCACGTGTTTCCAATGCAGAACCCTGTGACCTGCATGCACTGGATGGAGGTGGTGGAGGAGAGCAGGTATGCACAAGGCTCAGGGATCAAACCAATGGCACAAAGGACGTCTGATTTTCTATAATAATGTGAATGTTTTCATGTGTTTCAGTGCCCTCAGCTCCTTCTATAACTCAGAGGATGAATCCAAACTTTTTCTTCCCAAATTACCAACACTCCCCAAGAGGTACCTCTAGCATTCACTGCACATCAGATTATAAGAAAGCACCACCTGAGTTGATTAAATAACATCTGCTTAAACTGTTGTTTCTCCCCAGCTATAGCACGACTTCAAAGATCTTCAGGTGAGGCAGTATTTTAATGTATTAGTCCAATATCAGTTGTCAGCTGTATGTTTTGCTTGTGATAGCAGCCATATGTGTTTATCTATCTGTGTTACAGTGAGGAAAAGTCTGATGAGATAATGAATCTGCTGGGAGAAGTCAGGTAAATTAAATCTGTTTAGTCCGAGTAATGCAGTGTTGTTTTGAATTTGGACTCATCACCCCATTTTGTGGCCATGCAGGCTGAACATACTTGTTCTTGGAGGAGATGCTGGCTTTGTGGAGCTTTATGCCTATGGGATGTACAAGATTGCCACTCTAACAGGGGTAAGGCTCTTTCGTTGATTCATAAGAGTTGTCACCTTCCAAATTGGTCACTGCAAAAAAATATTTGCCAGCATAAATCTGACCTGAAGAACAGAATTTTGTCATTAAACAGCAAAACATAAAGTCTAACTTTAAATTGGATATCACTGTAGAAACATTATACAATAAAATAAACTTCTCCAAACCAAACTTTACCCTCAGTAGTTACTGTTGAGTTGAATCATCACTTCTCTGACACGATCTCAACAGAGTTTAAATATATTCTCTTAACTAATGCTAGCAGCATCTGCAACTAACCTCTTTAGCAGCCACTATTGCAGTTTTTGAGCAGTCACTTATCACACATCTCGTCACACACAAACACACCTAGCGTTAAACTGCACTGTAGCTGCCAGTAGTTCCTCACAGGACACATAGCTGGCAATATGGATTCTCGTGTGATTTTGTGACCTCAACGAATCCAACTGCCCCGCAAGTTGTACCTGTGGCACAGACATTATGAAATCTGAAAGTCAATATCAATATTAAATCTCTAAAACTGATATCTGAAGAATACAACAATACATTTAGTGATTCAACTCATGCTCTTTTCATTTCCAGGTATCAGGAACCTGTCGCAGCCTTAGTCTGTCCAGTGACCTCAAGTCTTTGTCTGTCATCACAGAGGTCAGGTCTGCTGACAACAACCCAGAGATCTGCTACATCCAGGTGAGACGGATGATTTGGCTTCATTTTCCAGTTCTTGTAAACACGCCTTTTCTTCATATCCTCATCGCTGCTAACTTGTGATTATAATTTG